TTTTCGAAAGTTTCCTTTGTTGGTTATTGGAAGGTAGTTTGGTGAGCACTTTCCCATAAATTTTAGATTCGATTTTTGGAGCAAATTCTCTGCATTTTGGAGCCTTAAGAACACCAAGAGCACTTAAAGAACATCATCATTTTTCTCTTGAATATTGCTAAATGTTTGGTACAGTTAAATCATGTTTTGTTTTCTTAAGTTTAGCCATGCTAGGCTAAACTCCTTTTGGTTGACTTTGGTTGGACTCCTTGAATGTTTGGTTGATATTGAAGAACTTCATGAACTTGTTTTTGAATCTCTATGAAAGTGCTTTCTATTTTAACATCTTCTTTCTATTTATATGTCTTTATTCATGATTTTAGATGTATATGTAGTGATTAGTTTTCTAATTTCTTGATTAAGTAATGTATCTTCAAATTAGCAAGCAACAAGTCGTTCTTGTGTTAGTTTTCACTTCACATAACCATAAAAATATTTTCTCCAACATGGTAGTGAAAGCATTTGAATCCTCTTGGATTTGATGACTTTTTGGTTCTTAATGCTAATTAACTTTCACTAATTACATGATGGAAATTGTGACTTTAACTAAGGAAATATGTTATGAGATTCTCTAGCCATCATTCATCATTTTAATTCCCACACCCAAACCACCAAATCACACCCGGATTCCAAAATTAGAAAAAAAGGAAGGAAGAAAAACTTGCTTGAAGAACTAAATACATCCCCTTTCACATGCAATTCAAATTCACGAGCGATTAACTTCTCAATTTCTTGCCATGTTTTAATTCTCATATCTAGGGTTCGATTTGGTGCATGTGATCGAAACACAAAAAGAAGAAGCAAGGGGTGGGTTGTCATCATGGTTGCGTACAAAGAAGAGGGGCTATGATTTGTTTGGTGAGTGTGGACTGATTTTTTTGGTGAGACACACCTATTTTTGATTGAAGAGAATAAAATGGAGAGGTTGCAATCTTGTGTTGTTACAAGTTTAAGAGAAGAGGGAGAAGAAGAAGATCATGGCTGGTTCGCATGAAAGCTTCAAACGATCAAGGGAAATACAACATACGGGGGTGGGGGTGAACAGGGGTTACAAGTTACAAGGGAAAAGGTTATCGGTATGAGGAAGGGTGTGGGACCATTCAATTTAATTTACTCTAACCCCTCGTACACATGACATGTCACTTGTGTAGGTGACCGGCAGGTTACATGCTCAATCTACAAAAAAGGTAAAAATAAATTGTTATAAATGTTTGGTTTTATTGAACCTAAAAACCAGTAAAATCGACATTTTAATGAAAACTTAAAGGATTTTATGACGTCCCTAATGATTTTGTTGTTGATCCTTTAGATTCCTGCTCCTAGTCAACCTTCCAGCCTTAAAACGCCTTCTGGACTCTCAAAACGTCTGCTCTCTGATGTATTTTTGATCTATAATCCGAGGTGTATCTTTTTAGGTCAAGAACAATGCCTTATATAGAGATTTTATGTCGACCTTAAAACGCGACATGTAAGTCAGTTGGATGCGTGTGTAGCTCAAAAAATCGTGTTGTACTCGAAGTCTTCATCTTTACATGTCACGTAGGCACTCTGGAAGCAGAGGATTCTTCATCTTTAATCCTTATCCATTTCTTTGGTCTTTATTAGCTTAATCTGCAAAATATAACTTCCAAGAATTATAAGTACTTTTTCTCTTCAAATGCACCAAAATACAACTCAAAACATTTAGACATCGCACGAAAATATATGTATAAAATAAACGATATCAAATACTTAATAACTGAAAATAAGGCATGATAAACTTAGGTTTGAAGATCAATTTTAGTGAAACACACATGCTCTCTGGCGTATTTTCGATCTATGATCTTAGGTATATCTTTTTAGGTCAAGAAAAATGCATTATATAGGGATTTTATGTCGACCTTAAAACACGGCACATAAGTCAGTTGGACGCGTATGTAGCACAAAAGATCGCGTTGTACTCGAAGTCTTCAATTTTAGTGAAACACGCATGCTCTCTAACATATTTTCGATCTATGATCTTAGGTATATCTTTTTAGGTCAAGAAAAATGCATTATATAAGGATTTTATGTTGACCTTAAAACACGGCGTGTAAGTCAGTTGGACGTGTCATGTAGGCACTCTGGAAGCACATCATTCTTCATCTTTAATCCTTATCCGTTTCTTTGGTCTTTATTAGCTTCTTTTTTCTCATCAACGTATTTAATCTGCAAAATATAACTTCCAAGCTTTATAAGTACCTTTTCTCTTCAAATACATCAAAATACAGCTCAAAACATTTAGACATCGCACGGAATATATAACAAGATCAAATACTTAATAACTGAAAATAAGGCATGATAAACTTAGGTTTGGAGAGAGCAATTTTAGTGAAACACACATGTTATCATAATCAAACAACAAAAATTGTAATTATGGCACAAAACTTAGATTAAACCATGTTCTGATACTACATATTGCATTAATAGACATAATTCAAGATCAATTTATGCATAAATATGAATAACCCTAAACCAATTGGAGATGATGATATCTCATTGATGTTAAAGATGACTATTTCATATGATGATATTTCACTTTCTATAACGGTGTCTAACATATCGATTCCGATTGATGGAATTACACATGCACACTATGATGGTGTTTGTAGAGAGGATTAAGAAGCGTAATGTTGTTACCTCTGAAGAAACATACATTCTTTCAGATGTTTGTGTTTTACTTATCAATTACATCTTAAGGGAAAATTTAGAACCACATGAATTTGGCCTCTCAAATTATGGATAAATGTCATATCCATCATCATACAAATAAATAATCATAGGATCTAATACGTTGTTATGACAAATATTATTGTTCATAATATAACTGTATCAAACATATTAAATCATTAACAAATCAATAAGTTCACAATAACGAGTTATTTTCCCACAAGAAACATTTTCTTAACAACAATATATACCCAATTGCCGATGGCTAATGACAACTTTATTAATCCTTAGTTTTACATATTTGTGAAATCATATGACCATCGACTCACATGACCTTGTCAATGGTGTACGTATAAATATTTGACCCATGCTTCAAAAGTTTCCCATTTAACCTATTCGTTAAACACATTATTACTTCAAATATGCTAGTTGATCGAACATAACCGGCCTTTTAACAGTCTCAACATTATAGAAAAAGTCAAAAGTTATATAATTTATCATACTTTAGGCTTATAAAATACTTTAAACAGTCTATTTACAAAGAAATCATAATACAAATACACAACTAAAAACGTGTTTACTTTTTTTCTATTCAATCAAAAGCCAAAATTGAAACTAACACATCGAACAACTTTTTTTGGTCAAAACTAAGAACACAAAAAGTAGACACCTACGTCGCAAAACAGCATATCACCACCTTTCAGAAAACGATGAAGAAGAATGGTTCCGTAAAACACGCAAACATAAAATCAAAATCTCGCGATACGATAAAATGTATACGATAAACTGAAGAAAAAAAAATACTCATCGATCATAGAGCCGTGGAGAAAACGAGTCAATTTACTCGCCCCCGCTACACACACAGAAACACGTTCAAAACCGGCTATTGCCGGTTACCGGTTACCTCCCACTACCCTTAATAAAACACAGTCGTCCACGCTGAGGCGACTCGAACACAAAGAGAGAAAAAAAGGATTTTAGTTGTTGTGGGTCCCACGGCCACCAGAACAACCACCACCTGCCGCCGTCTTCCTCCGCCGTCTCTTCTTTCTTTCTCTCTCTATCTGTAAATCTTTATTTGCTGTATATGTATGTGGTAGTAATATGCATACAGCTGTTTCGATTAGAAAACGAATAAAATAAATAAATATATATATATATATATATATATATATATATATATATATATATATATATATATATATATATATATTATATTAAAAAAGATTTGTTATTTTTTAAATCAAAGAAATAATCAGAATAAATTATAAATCAAACCACCCCTCTTTTATTCTCTTTCTCCACCCCCAACGATTTCGCCCTAAAAAGCCTTTTGATTTGCAGATTTTAGAAAGAGAGAGAGAAGGAAGGAGGAGGGAGAGATATACATCATATATATCTAAAAGCAAAGTTATTTATTTTTTCCTTTTTTTTAAATAAATTTTTTCATCAAACGCCAACAGAAGCTGCTCATCTACACATACACACATATTTTACATATATATGAAGAAGGAGATGGAAAAAAGAAAGCATTTTTCAGACTAACTTGCTTATGTAGAGAGAGAAAGAAGTGATTTTGGTATATTTGGGGGCACAATTCTACGCAAAGGGGGCGTTTTCTTCATCTTTTCGTCTTATCCAATCGGTAAGGTAAATACCCTTTTGTTTGATTACTGTAATCTCCACTCGAACAGATCTAATTTGATTTAATTTATAACAAAGAAATCATGTGCTTTGATTTTTAATTAGTTTATTTCTAGGGTTTCCGAAACTGCTGTTCGATTGGATTAATGGGTTTTGTTATTTGATCTTGAGATTAAAAGATCTAAAAGTTGTTTTCTGTTTTTCGATTTTAATTCGTTCGTAATACCATATCTAGCTTAGAAAAGTCTCGATTTTTATTCTGATTGAAAGCTAATTCATTACCCGACTTTCTTGATTGCTAGTCTACTTAATCTATCCCAGATCTTCTAGATAGCGGTTTCATATGAATCTTAAATGCATTTGATTACTCAGGTTTTTCTTGAATTAAAGGCGAAAAATTCAAGATTTTGAATCAGGGATTTCATTATATTGTTTCGGACTTCTTTTCTCGATACATCAATATCAAGATTATGATTAGGGTATGACAGGTATGTCATCACTGATTTTGACAATTTCTTTCACTTTTTATCAAATTTCAGCTTCAAAATTTCTCGTTGCTGATTGGAGGATATAAGGGTTCTTTCCGGTTTTCAAAAAGTCGTCATCTTTCAGGTCCAAATTAGGGCGACATGTTGGAAGATCGATCTTGTTTTGTTTCAAGAAGTTACAGTCGCGAAAGGGACAATAGTCACAATACTTGGAGTTATATGAGCAATTACAGGATAGAAAGACTAGAATCCCAACAAGGAAAACGACCATTAGAACATGATGAAAACGAAGAACTCGATCATACCCATCCCGGAAAAATCTCCAAACAATCAAACAGTTTACAAAACCTACAACTCGAATTAGGGTTCCTCGAGTTTTCTAATCATTCCAATAGTCAAGATCAATCTGGAGATAATTCCGATTCAAGCTCTCTAATCAACGGCCTCGATCGTGACAACTCACTCACATGTCTAATGAAATGTTCCCGATCAGATTATGGTTCAATTGCATCGTTAAGCCGTAGCTTCCGTGAGCTTGTTAGAAGTGGCGAACTTTATAGATTAAGAAGAAAAAATGGGATCATCGAACATTGGGTTTATTTCTCTTGCCACCTCGTAGAATGGGAATCTTTTGATCCAATCACTTCACGTTGGATGCATTTACCCACAATGACGTCAAACCCATGTTTTCAATTTTCCGATAAAGAATCTTTAGCTGTTGGGACTGAGTTACTTGTATTGGGTAAAGAAGTTCTAGATCACGTGATTTATAAATATAGTTTATTAACAAATTCATGGTGCTTAGGTCGAAATATGAACTTTCCACGTTGTTTATTTGGGTCAGCGAGTCTAGGGGAAATAGCAATTGTTGCTGGTGGGTGTGATCCCAATGGCAAAATTGTAAATTCAGCCGAACTTTATGATAGTGAATCGGGTACATGGGAAACACTTCCGTGTATGATTAAACCTCGAAAAATGTGTTCCGGGGTTTTCATGGATGATAAATTTTATGTAATCGGCGGAATTGGAGGTCCGGAAATGAGACCGTTGGCATGTGGGGAGGAATACGATTTGAAAACGCGGGAATGGAAAGAGATTCCGAATATGTCTCCGGTGAGAACTGGGACTGCTCCCGCCAATGAGGCGGGAGCAGTGGTGGTGCCTCGTACTGAGGCACCACCATTAGTGGCGGTTGTGGATAATGAGTTGTATGCTGCTGACTGTGCAGATATGGAAGTGAGAAAATATGATAAAGAAAAAAAGGAATGGGAGACGGTTGGGAGGCTGCCCGAACGGGCAGACTCCATGAATGGTTGGGGGATTGCTTTTAGAGGGTGTGGTGACCGGGTTATTGTTATTGGTGGGCCCCGGGCAATTGGGGCGGGTTTTATTGAAGTTAATTCGTGGGTCCCACGAGAAGGTCCGCCACGTTGGCGGTTACTTGGACGGAAACAATCGAATAACTTTGTTTACAATTGTGCGGTGATGGGGTGCTGATGACGAAGGTGTTTGATTTGGAAACGGTAAAAAGGTAAAAAGGTCGGTGTTTTTGACTCTTTTTATGACAAAATTTTCGAATTTTACTTGAGATTTTTAACGTTTGTGAGAGTCTTGAGTACGTTTTTTTTTTAGAGGTTTTGTGTCTACCTTCACTTTGAATCAACAGGGTAATAACTTGAAGTGATAGATTGGTAGATAGCTTTTTTTTCTCTCAAAAAAAAAAAAAAAAAAAAAAAAAGGGTCGAAAAAGTTTGATATATGGTTTTTATGGTCTTTAATTTCTTGATATTTCCCAAGAGAAAAATAAGCTACATGCTTGATCTAATGGAACGTATACATTGTACTAAATTCACATTTTGTTCAATTCATAGGCTTCTCATTGAGCCTTTTGTTTCTCTGTTTTTGCTCTCAATAGTATGTTGCCATTTTGGTGTGATTCTGTTGCCATTTATAGAAATCTTATATATCATGAATGTATTATCGTCCAGGAATCCTAGAAAACAAAGCCCTTTTAAAATCTAGAATCTTTTATGTTTCATTTGTGGGAACTGAACAAGCTTTTTAGGGCTTCTTTTATGATAAGGACGAAGAGGGCATTTATGTCTTTTGCAAAAACAGTAGATATGTATTTTGTGGCTGTGTTTTAGATGCACCTCCACCCACACTCGTCTAATGTGGGACCACAAACGCACACATAAATCACTATTTGGTTGTTCATTTAGCAATACCCCAAAATGATTATAATTTTTTGTCTAATTGATATCTGTCTTAGTCCTACTAAATACAGTACAATCTATTCATTTAGCAACACCCCAAAATAATTATAATTTTTTGTCTAATTGTGTCTTTGCTGGACTAGTGTGCTACTTTGTTTTGATAGTGCAAACTCTTGTGAACAATAAAACAAAACCCTTTTTAATCACGAGTCCTTTTGTGATCTCATAGTGTTATACCATGTTGATGAGGTCTTATGAGTTGCTTTTGTATGGTTCTACGATTATATTTTGATCTTCTATGTAATAATATGTCCCATATGGATAGAAAATTCCCTTATAATGTTAAGGTATTGGCAACAATTTGATAATGAACTTAATTGATTTAATCTACAACTTTGGGTTTGAAGCGTTAGTGCGTTACCCATGCTATCAGAGCAGGAGCCTCTTGAGATAAATGTTCCATGAGAAGAAAAAAAAGTCGTTGAGCATATGAAGAAATGAGAGGGGAATAATGATATTAATGAAATTTTGTAAAATTAAGGGAATGTAATTAGTGAATGGAAGTATTTGTCTGTTGAACTTTATATATTTTGATTATGGTCAAAACCTCCCTGATCTTGGTGTTCAAGAAGTTGTAGCAACATGCCTTCTTAAGTAATTTGTTTGACCTTAAACGTAACAACATTTATACCAAAAATGTGGATGGAGGTCTATCTAATTTGAGTATTGAGGATTGCAAGTTTGTGTCTTTTGTTAAAGGGTTGCATGCATACAAATGTCAAATAAAACACATTTAGGCTATTTTTATTTTTGGGTGGTGTATATTTTTTAAGTAAAATAACAACATATTTCAACATATGTCAAACTAGGGCCAAAATTTCTATGCATTTGAGTGCTTTGTCGATTTCCCATTGAGTTAATTTTGGGTTCTCAAAAACCAAAAGTTAATAAAGAAGATTGTTACTAAATTATAATTTTGACAAGTAAACAGATGTTGCAATTTTAAAATTAAATGAATTGAATGGTTATAAGATCCGAATATCATCAATGTAATTTTATAATTTTTTTGGGGAGTTTTTTGTTCAATAAAATCTTGTCATTTCAAAAAGTATATTGGTATAAATTAGATAAGTGAATGAATAAGGAGTAATTACTGACGGAGATATATATATATATATATATATAATCATATAGATAGATATATATATTATATATCTATATATATATATATATATATATATAGAGAGAGAGAGAGAGAGAGAGAAGAGAGAGAGGTTCAAATGTGGATTAACAAATATTGTGTGGATTTAGGGATTAATATGGTCCAAGTATTATTTAATTTTAAATAAATAATTAATTAAATCTTCCACCCTTTAATTTAGGCAAATTACTTTATTTAAAACCCTACTGCCTATTTCATCCACACCCACAAAATCGCCTCCCGCTTCCATCGAAGATGTCAAGATCGTCGGAGGGAAGTTCTCAGGTGCGTTGTCCGCTATTCCAGATGTCGTGACCAATCGAGACCGTCTCCGGGGTTCGAAGAAGTTGAAGAGACAAAGGGAATAGGGGAGGTCGTCGTCTCCGGGGTCGGCGAGGCCGAAGGGGAAAAGCAGCGCAGGGTCTGCTCCGGCAATCAAATGTGAAGAGAAGGGAGAAGGTTGATCCGAGAGGGTCAAGGCAAGCAGCAACAACACACGATTTGGGGAGATGAGAAGGAGGGTGCTGCCCTCCTGACCACCGGGTACCTGCAACCTCTTGACTAATCGGAAAGCCCTCCTACGGCGGTACTGGATAACCCACGAAGATGAAGAGGAGTGTTGCTCCGATTGATAGCAGGTTTTCATTTTCTTATCCTTCGTCCACATCTTTACATAATTCTGAGTTTTGGTGTCCTTAATTTTTTCTTAAATGTACCAGTTGAGTCGATTCTTAGATGTGTACACCTAATTCTTATGCATAGCAATTTTTATAGAATTGATGTATTTATGTGGATTTGTTTGTCTGTATATATACATTATGGTCTTTCTAAGTGTGTTAGAAGACAATGAATGAGCCATATGAATTCTTGAAAATATTGTGATGTTGTTTTCTAAAAATGTCATAACCCACATAGCTTTTAGTAATTGTAAAGTTTGAAGCTGTCAAGTTTTTCTTAATTCAGCCATAAAACTTAATTTCTAAACCACATGTTTTCTTGTTATTGTATAATCTTATTCCCATGCTTATTTCTGTTTTTTTTTTAATACAGGTCTTTGTTTACTCGTTAGTTGAAGATCTAAAGTCGAATGAAATAAATCCCCTTCTAGGAAGGAGAATATTCTTATAGAATGAAGATTTTTTCAAGACTTACTTACTATGGAGCTTGTATTCTTATAGAACTTGACAAAAATTCAAAAAAAATGACATTGAATTTTTATAGAATGTAACAGTAAAAATTGTTTTTTTGTTTATTTTTAGACCTTAGATTCTTCAATAATATTAATAATAGATGATTATTCTTTAAGAATGTTGTTATTATTCAACTTATGGTTCAAAAATTTGTTATTTCAAAATGTTCATTCAATCAGATTGCATTCGTCAGAATTTGTATTCAATCAGAATATGTATTCTATTAGAATATGTATTTTAAACTCTTGGTCCACATTCATCCCTACATCCACACAATACTTACCATCCACATTATAACCTAGCCCTATATATATATATATATATATATATATATATATATATATATATATATATATATATATATATTAATATATATATATAATATAGAGAGAGAGAGAGAGAGAGAGCTAGGTTGAACTGTTTCTAGCAAATAGTGTATGCCTAAATGCACCAATGAAAATTCAGGAATAATAAATCATTAAATAAATTAAAAAAGGGTATAATGGTAAACTTACTATATCTAATTATGGTAAAAAAATAATTCAATTAATCTCTCCTTAATTAGTTTAACCTTGCAAAGCCAACATCCCTAACCTTAAAGAGCATGACGGCTTCCTCAAATCGTCGATACCTCTGTTCCTCCTTTCCACCAGAAATTGATCCTTACATCCGAGCACCACAGTCGGCATATTATCCGCCATCATGACAACAACTTCTAGATCCTCTATTCGAATACTCCTCTTCCTCATCTTCATGTTCATCGGCCTCTTGCTTTCGATACGCTTGCTAGACGCTAACGGAAAGGTCCTGGATTTGGATCTCATGTTTGACTGCGTTGAGTGGCCAGTCATCTTGAAGAAGTACTATCGTGGCCCTAATGCAGTTGCTTGATTGTGCGCCCCAATCTACCAGGTATTTAATACTTTCCCTCTTCAAATATGAATATCTGAATATTGCTATGCTCTTGTACTAATCATAACATGTTTTTTTAGTTGTATCTCCAGTTCCCGACCACCAAGAAACTGAATTAGTAAGACTCTCACTAATTTTTTTTGAAGAAACTGAAGAAGCACACCACGTGTTCGATAAAATCCATAGTTGAAATCTAGGTTTTTTTAATGCATCTTGATGTCGATCATTCTGCTAGAATGGAATATTGAATTCTAATTTTGTCAGAATAGAATCTTGAATTTCTTGTCAACTTAAGCAGTGAATTATCGTAATCAATTCTGTCAGAATAAAATTGGTTTATATTCTTGTTATTGGTCTCGATTCTTATGGAATAACATCCTAAACAATGAAACATTACATTCTTTCAGAATAATATACATTGCAAGTTTAGGGATGATTGTTAATGTTGGTTTTTGTAAAAGTATAGTTATATTCTATTTGAATGTATATCACATTCTATTAGATTTTATGTTTTATTCTATTTAATGCACTAAAAATTTTAATATTGGAAAGTTGATTATGTTTTCCTTATGAATTTAGGTTTTGAAGAGGTTGCCATTAATGTGGAAAATGAAGAAAACATGGAGAACGATAATATTCTTTCGGAATAGAGTAGTGTTTCTGTTAGATTTTGATGTTTTTTTTTCTTTTTTAACCATTTTTAGTTTTAATATTTAAGAATAAATGTAAATCCTTAAACCATTATTAGTCATAATTTTTTAGACTTTTGTAATAATTGTTTAAAGTCTTTTTCTTACGGATAAATGTAAATAGTGATTTTAAAGAATAACTCCGTATTCTTTAGAAAATGTTATTCTTGATAATATGTTGTATAATTCTTTAAGCATGTTTAATATAAAAAATATTTTGAATGAAACAATATTATGCAAGAATAAAACCGCAAATATATTTACTAGTTTATTGTTGACTTTTTGTCAT